CTCATAGAAGACCAAAGGCCACTTGAGTGGGAATTTAAACCACATTCAGCGTTTGAACGCCCATCAAAGAAGACAGAAGACAATGTTCAAACGCCAACTAACGTTCGAACGTTGTCCCCCAGACAGGCTGCAGAGTGATTGATTTTCTATTCAGACCTTGGGGCTTTCACTTGGATTTTGAAGACCTTGTACTATTCTCTCACACTCCCTTGCCCGATCCTCCTTGCCTATAAATACTCCCATTGTGGGAGCTTCAAAAGGGTAGAAAAATTGTAGGAGTTAGGCTTAGACTTAGACTTACATTTATAGTCTCACATAGAGAGAGATAGAATGAGATATATCATCTTTTGGTTGAGGAGGAAACCCTCCAAAAGTGACTAGCTTTCTTCTACTTTCATTATTAGTTTCATTTGCTTTCATTGTTTGAGCTTCATTTTTTCTTTAGAGAAGTGAAACTCTTCCATTTTTTCAGAGCTTTTCCAAAACCATGAAAGGTGGAACGTGATTCGCTCATTTTTTGTTGAAGATCAGCTCCTTGTGTAGTGTATTTACCATGTAACTCATCTACTTTGAAGGATGAACATCACTCACTTTTCTAGATTTACCAAAGCCATGAAGAGTAAGTAGTTTCTCATTTACTTTTTAGTAAGAGATGATAGACATGTATAAACTATCCAAAAGTTATATTTGTGCATTTCGTTTATACTTAATGCTTTATATTTCACTTGTTTATTGAATGATTAAATACATCTAGTAAAGCTAAGATATTTTGTACAATCCTGAGTACTTTCTATGACATAAATGACTCTTGACATAGAACAGTTCATTAGTTCTAGGCAAGTACGCCGGCTAGATGTTCATGACTATATTTCAATCTTCACTATTATTGTGCTTAATTTAAAGAATGGAATACTGACACAATGGTTGGATGTCTTGTAGAGACATTAGGTTGTTTGTAGATGGGTTGAATCTCGGCACAAACAATTCTTGTAAACCTCTACAAAGACATCAGATCCATACTCTTAATTCTAATAATTCATCCTTATCTTCCGATTAGTTTCATGTTGACTTAAGGGTTAATTGAGTTACAAGTACAAGTATAATAAATCGGATGATTAATTACATATTCAGATTCTCGAGTTAAAGGGTAACTGTTACATTTGATAACTTATTATATTTTGTTTAGAAAAATCCTTTGAAAAGAATCTTATATTCTGTCCAGGAAATCTCATAACTTCAAATTTCAAGGCTTCAAGTCACTTGGTCTCTGTCATTGCTTACTTTGAAATACCAACGATAGTTTCTTGTGGATTCGACTCCGAATTTAATAGGATTATTACTACAGCTTAAACCGTCTGCACTTAGGTGTACATATTTTGGATCAAGTCACTAACCGCCTTCTTTTGTCTTGCTAGCTGCTCGTCTCATAGTATCCTTTAAAGTCCTCAGCTTGAACATACGGATACCATCTGCAACATCTAGTTTGAACCCCCCCCCCCCCCCCAAAAAAAAAAAAATAATAATAAACACACCAATTATTGCCTTTTGCATCCAACCTTGTACCCAATTGCCTAACCTCTCAAAGTCCCATTGATAATCCCTCAATGAACCTTCTTGTTTGACCCAAGCAAGAGCTTCATAGAAGTCCTCGTATTTGGCAGGGGCCAAATCTTGCCCAAAGCTTCTTTGTAAAGACCTCCCAAATGATTGAGGCTTCCATATCGCTATAAATGCGACTGAGCCACTGCCACCACTGGTTGGCCTCCCTCTACATATAAAATGAAGCAAGGGGCACCTTTTGATCTTGCAGGGTTACTTGGAAACTAAAATATTGCTCTGCTCTATTGAACCATTTCGTTGGATCATTGCCGCTATACTAAGGAAATTCCAATTTGATCACACGAGCACCATTGAAATATCAGTTGCCATCACCCCCTATTGAGGAGCTCCCTTTGTCAGGCCCGTGAGGTTATTTTCCTAACTGTCAAGAAGCTGCGAAGGACAGAGATAATTCCTTCAAGAACTCCTCTAGTCCCCCTTCCCTTTCCCTTTCCCTTTCCCTTCCCCTTCCCCAAAAAAAGGAAAAAAAAAAAAAGGTTGTTACAGTCGGTTTGCAAGTCCACCCTCCATTTGCTATATTCCAGAACGAACCTCCTCCACCCATGATTCAAGCTGCTCGATACGCTCCTTGTTGGTGGCCATCGAACCTGCTTTGATACCACTGATAGTTCCCAGATAATATGTGCAAAAAAATACTGATTAATAACTCCTTTTGGGTAGGAGAAAACCACTTACAATGTAATTTCAAAACTGAACTATACTACTGCACCACAAGTTACATAAATAGAACACAAGATTGCTAGCCCACGTAGACCACTATCCTTCACATGACCCATTACAACTAACACTACGTATTAACAAGGAACAATCTAACAGAAACCAAATAACAAGGCAACAAATAACAAAACAACTACCCACGATCATGCTACGTACTTGGGGGGAGGTTGGGCTTACGGGCACTGTCGAACTCTATCAAGTAGAGATGTTTCCGTTAATGTTGGAGAGACTTTTATAAAATAATGTTTTTGTTCGATTTAAATTATTTCACTGCTAAATATATTTTAGTTTTGAGTTGTAAGCTAGAGAAGTTACATTGTTTTACTAACTTTAGTATTTATTCATTACGGAATGGATGAAGGTTTTAGTATTTAAATGATTATTTCTTGTTGTTCGTATGAATGAATGGATTGTCCAAAATTTTTTTTTAGCAATTTCCGTATTCAAATCCAACAATTTCGGATTCACAAGTTTTACATGTCGATAAAAGGCATAACACATCTAAAAGCATGTAGCAAAGTCAAGTCATCTTAAATGATTAATTAAAATTGATCATCACTTGATACTATACAAAATGGGACTTGACTACAGTAACAAAATTTTAAATTTCGGTATCATATCAAAATTTATCTCATTTGTGGTCATTTTAATTATATTTCTGAGTACTTTTACTATTGTTGTGATACTCAAAAAAATTGTAAAAATAATTATCACAATAGTAATAAAAAAATTCACAAATTTGATAAAAACACTCACAAATTTAATAAATCATCCACAAAAGTGATAAATTTTTATATACTTAAAAAAAGTGGTAAAAATAGTTGCCACAAATATGATAAAAATACGTATAACAGTACTAAAAATACGCATAAAAGTGATAAATTAATTACAAAAATTATAAAAATATTTTTTAAGATAATAAATTTTAGAGATATGGAATCGAAATTTTTTTGACGAGACTATATCCAGGTCCAACAAATGAGAAGATCCAGGCATAAGGGCAAGTTGGCTCGATTTCTAGAACCTGCTTTGAATGATAGGCAATTTACATCAGCTGTCAAGTCAAAGGCAGTAGTAGGAACTAATATGTAGAATAACTTGCAAAACGCGAAATCATATCAAAAAGTCTCCGAAATTTTGACTCGGAATCTTATTCCCCAAGAAAAAAAACAAAAGAAGATTGATGTAATCAGTGACATAATCAACATTGCTTGAACAAGAAAACTGTAAGTCGGCACAAAGGATATTCTCGTAATATGCTCTAATCATATATTCTTTAAGGTGGGTGCCCTTTTTTGTTTCAGTTGCAATTTTCCAACGTGTGCCAAATTTCCTGCAATTTCCAAACATTTGGCAAAAAGAAAGTCGGAAGGCGGCTGATGACAAAAAGCATATCCCCTATATTTTCTTCCATATTCAAAAAAAAAATTATCTAAATTATTATTTTTGGATCTCGACACACATGAGTTACACAATTCTATAATGGAAAATGTTATGTCCCTCTAGTTTTTTTACCAAATTGTAGTTCATTTCTTCCCTATGTAAATAGAAAGGCGAAATAATTATCAGACCCTTAATAAAAGAATGGATTAAAGTGATAGAATAACATCAGAAGACGTTACTAGACTTTGGAATTGAAAAAAGTGCTCCTTTTTTTTTTTTTCTGTAAGCAGATTTCGCTCATTAAATTCTTGTTTGATTTGCCGTTGTTAAAACATTATAATATTGGTCCTTTTGGATTTAATACTCTCAATGGTGAATCGATCATTCGATATCTTTTGAATTATGAGAGGACGGAGTGAAAGAAAAATAATGAAACCTGCAATGGCTAAAGAATAACTTCATTCTGAGATAAAAAATTTGGTAAAATTTTAGGTGAAAAAAACATTGTTGATAAAGAAACTATTCTGTCAGATGTTACATCTATAATATAACAACAATACCTTTTGCATACCAGCACAAAAAAAAAAAAAAAATAAATACCATTTGCATTAGTATAAAAATCCATAAACGAAAATAGAAGCACAGTATTTCTTTGACACATGGGCGGCTCAACAGTTTTCTTGAGGTTTAAGTCTCATTTTTAAAAGAAATCTCCAAATTTATTTTTTTTTAAATAAATAAACTAATTATAAGAAATCTAATTTTAACACCCAAAAAAGTTAAGTTTAATCTTACCGTCTAACTTTTCAGTCAGTCTTCTCTTTTACCATTAAGTGCAAATATGGTCATAAAAAGTTGAATATAAAATTTTAATTGATATTTTGGTATTTAAAAAAATTAAAAATTAAATTTATTATTAATATTAAAAAATAAAAAGACCCTTATTTTTCATTTCTACTTTGGGCCCTCGAGCCACCCCAACTTTGACATACGGATTGCAAATCCGGCAAAACAGGAAATTTTTATTGCAGATCCACAATTTCCATAACAGAAGACATTACACATAAGCACCAGTGCTTTTTTCACCTGCTCACTCCCTAGACCCAAAAAACAGAAGGTCTGGAGAGAAGGGATTCTCAGCATCTGATTCACACACAAACTTTTATTTATCATTCCGCATCTCATATATTTACAATCTCAAACTCTTCTCCAAAACTTACAAAAGAACAAAAAATTAAAAAAATAAAAAAAAAAGGACCAAACAAGAAAGTCCTCAGTCCTTGTGTGCATGAGCAAAGCAAAGATTCATTGGGACTTTCATCTCTCCTCTTTCTACATGGTTCATGTACACCAAAAGGTTGTTAGTACTTAATAGCAGTAATATTTTCAGGTGAGATCAGCCATTGATCTGGTCTCTCCTACACTAATGATCCATGGATGTCCTGCATTAAATAAACAGCACATCATAAGATAAGAATGCAGAAAAAAGATGCCTAACCACAAGCGTGTTTGGCAGATGTGAAAAATCAGAGGAAACAGAATAAAGATGCCAAAGTTTAGAAGCTTGAAAAAAAAAATTTATCTGACAAAACCTATTTAACTACAAGCAACTCAACCATGAATTCATTTTCTCAGTAACCAAACAACAACATAGCAGAAAAAAAGTATAACTCAACTCTTTCCCCTCATTTTCTCAGTAACCAAACAGAAGGCTACAATTCTGGGGGCAAAGTAAACAACTAGAATTAACAAAATTTTGCCTTTACTTTATGAATTCATTTTCTCACAATCAAACTGGGTCTATAATTTTTTTGGAAAAAATTGAGTTAAACTTCAAAAAAAAAAAAACCAAAAATCAAAGAAAACAAAGAAACAGAGAGCAAAACAAATGATCAACAAATCAAAGGAAAAGAACAAGCCCAGTAAGGTATATAACTTAAATTTAACTAAAAAATCATACATGTAAACATAAATAAGAAGATTGGTGAAGAGATTAATCACATACTGAGAACTTGATCGGCAGATAACCTCCGGGACACATCCTTACAGATCATCTTCCTCAGCAGATCTTTCGCCTCTGGAGATACTGACCGGAAAATCCTCGTCGGAAACCTCAAATTTCCCCTCAACACCGCCTCAAAAGTCTCCGTCGCCGTCTCACCGTAAAAAGGCGGAACTCCGGCCAACATTATGTACAAAATCACACCAGCACTCCACACGTCAACCTTCTCATTGTACTCTCTCCCCATCAACACCTCCGGCGCCACATAGTACGGCGTACCAACCACCCCTCTCATAGTCCCCTTCTCATTACCGGCGCCGAAATACTCCGCCGACCCAAAATCAGCCAGTTTCAATCTGTTTCTCGAATCAAACAATATGTTATCAGGCTTTATATCTCTATGAGCAACACCCATATGATGGCAAAAACTTATCGCCGAGATCAGCGATTTCAGAATCGTCGCAGATTCGGACTCTGTGAAGGTAGATTTGGTGATTCTCTCGTAAAGATCAGGGGATTCACACAGGTCAGTGACGATGTTGAGATAGTTCTCGTCCTCGTAGAGTTTGTAGATTTGGAGTATGTGGGGGTTTCCACTGAGGAGTTGGAGAACTTTGGGTTCTTTTTCCAAGCACTCGCGATCTGTTGGGTCTGTAAGGAGGCGTTTGTCAATGGTTTTGCAGGCGAAGAACTCACCGGAAGATGGGCTGAAGCAGCGGTAGACAGTACCGAATCTACCACGGCCGATCTCTTCAAAAAGTTGGTACTCGTTCTTGAGACTCTCACACATGATATGGTAAAATTGTGATCAGGGTTTTTCGATGAATGGTTATGTTTTTGGGTTGGGGTTAGTTGAGAGGCTTTATAGAAGAGAGAGACAGAGGGAGACAGAGGATTTGGGAAAGAATATAATGGAATATACCAATACCATTACCATGGTAGTTTTTTTTTTTTTTTGTTTTTCTTTCTTTTTCCAAAGAGTGCGTCTTGCGAGGAAGAAAAGAAATGACAAAAGTAAATTGTAATAAAAGAAAATAATAAAAAATATATTTATACGTATGTATTTAAATAGAATGAAAAATTTATGAAAAAATTTTAAAAAAATTATTTTATTGTTTAAAAGAAATTAAAGTTATATGTTTTTTATAATTATCTAAATTACCTTCAATTATATTAAATTAGTCTAAAAGTTGATTATTTGTGAGAAAATTTAAGCGTGAAAAAAATTTATTTTTTCTATCATTTACCTTTTCATACTAACCAAACATATAAAAATTTTAAAAAATTTCTCTTTCTTATATTTTCTATTATTCTCCCGCTAAACAAACGAACTCAAAAGAAAACTCAATATTGAGATTTACTAATTGAGAGATTTTCTCAATTTTAATTTAATTTTAGTATTATTTTTTTTTATTTTATTTATTTATATCATTCAATCCAAATACAACACTCTAATTTTAAATACATCATCTCTAATCTTTACTTAAATTTTCAATCAAATTTAAGTTAACATGCGAGTTAAAAAACTTAAATAGGTACAAAGCACTTCAATAGACAAATTAAAATTAAAAATTAAAAATAAACTCAAATTTAAATAAGAATGAACTCTTAAAAATTTGAGTCTTTTTTTAATTTGAGTAAAAAATTGTATTTGCCTTCATTTGATATTTTTAACAAGTTTTTATTGAAATTTAAATTTGATTAACATTTTTTAGTAAAAGTTAGAGATGGTTATAATACAAAAAATATTATAAAATTCCAAGTTGTTTAGTTTTTGGGAAAGTACATTAAACAAAAAAAATTCACCCAAATTATTGTGAAGAAGAGAGAGTATATTAGCTCAAGTAGAAAAGAATCTACCCAAGTCAAAACTCTTTTTCACATCATGATGCTTTACACATGCAGGTATAACCCAGTAAAAAGAAATCTAAATAATAGCAACGAATCAAGTATTATTAAATTTTAGCAAGACCATTGTTTTCAAATATTTTATTTTGAGTTTGTTTAATTTATAAAACATCACAATTATTTGACCAATTAAGCTATTTACATTTTTTTTTGTAATTTCAGAATAACTTGAACTTGGTTATCATATTTTATTCTGAATTTCTCTTACAATTTTGTGAAATGAAAGTATAATAGGTGTTATACCGGAGAAGAAAAAAACAATTTGTATAGTACTGTTTCGGATGAATTTGAGTTGGATTTTTGTTCCCATTGCAACCATAGGGTCCATAGAGCTATAACTACAAGCCTATAAAGGAACGGTTACGGATAGCGAGAGGTAGACAAACATAACGTTGTTTGACGCAGGAAAGTGTACAAAACGTTCCCTCTCTTTGTGCGGTGGAATGAGAGCTACTTTGGGAAAAGTGAAAGACTTTCTTTGGGTTAATAGTAGAATTCTATTCCAATAAATAAGAGTGTGCATTACGTGGTCAATTATTAGATAATTAATTTTTTAATGAATAATATATAGATATAAGTTTTTGATTTTTGAATGTAGATATGGTGTATTGAAAGAGTATATTATTGTTTTTCTATATTTGAGTTCCTATCATTCAATAAGTATTATTTGTATTAATTATTCACCACTAAAAACCAACAATTATTGTGTAATATTGGGGGTAAATATTCAATGTAATTTCATGTCATTAACTATTTACATAGCAAAGTATAACATAAAAAATAATTTTATTTTTTGCTGTTAAAATTATTTTAAATTTTATTTTAAAATTAATCCGACAGTAATTCTATCTCCCAAAATTTAATAGGAAAAATAAGAACCCTAGGGTTTGTTGGGGTGATTTTTTAAAAATATTTTTAAGACTTATAAGTTTTCATAAGTAATTTAAAAAAAAAAAGTAGTGTTAAGAACTTATTTTAATTCCATATAAATAAGTCAAAATTACTTTTACCACTTAAATAAGAAAATAAATAAAAATTAATAAAAATAACATATACTTTGTTAAAATCATTTCTCTATAAAAACACTTCACTACCACCACCCCCCTAGCACCCTACCACCGTTGTCACCTCCCCACCACCACTGCCACCTCTATGACCCCTCACCACCATCTCTGTCACAAACCAACACCACCACTATAGCCACCGTCACTGCGATCACTATCGTCGCCCACCTCTACCACCCTGACCACCACCTTCATCACAACCACCACCACCAGCATCGCCACCGTCATTACTACCACTCATAACCATCTTCTTCATCCACCATCAAGCTACCAATATCACCTCCTATCATCATTTTATTCTTATATTTATCACAATTATCACCATAATCCCACCAACGTCGTCGTCCACCTCCACCACCCACCACCACCATTGTTGCCAACCGCCATCCACTATCTACCGTTGCCCACCACAACCGCCACTCATTGTTACCCACCCTTTATCACACCTACCATCACCAGCCATCATAGCCCACCATTACTCGTTGTCGCCCACCGCAATCACCACTCATTGTTACCCCACCCCCTATCACACCTACCATCACCACCCATCATAGCCCACCACTGCTGTCACCCCCCCCCACTACATTTATCACCATGGTTGCCATTTGCCACTGCCCCCACCATCACTCATACCCACCACCATCGTCATCACCAGCTCATCACTGCCTCAACATGGTTGTCGGCCCACCACAACCTAATCCTATCACCAATGTCGTCGTCCACCGTCACCACTCACTGCCACCATTGTTGCCCATTCCCACCCACTACCACACCCCCACCACTACTTGTCGTCACCCACTATCACTGCCACCCATTATTACCCACCCTCTATCATGCCTACCACCACCACCCACCATAGCCCACCACCCGCTGTTACTCACTATCATCTACCCTCACCACACCAAACACCACCCACAACTACCGTCGTCCACAAGCACCCATCATTGCAAACCACCACCATCACCCACCACCACCACCATCACCATTGCCACCTATGACTGTCATTGCCATCACGATCATCGTTGTCCACCACAAATCATCACTGTCTCCCACTTCCATTATTATCATCGCTCACCTCACTACTACTAGTATTTAATTTTTTTTCCCCTCTATTTTTTGTGATTTTTATTTTAGGTATGAATATAAATATGTTTATAAGTTATAATTTTTTTATTATTTCGTGCATTCAGGCATAGATAATAACTAATTTTTTTAAATGAATGATTATTATCTTATATAGATTTAATAATTATTAATTTTTGTGACTAATATTTTAAGTAGCAAACCGCCAACTTATTATTTAATATTGAAAGTGTTTATTAGTAAAAATTTTATAAATTTCTCATAATGAACAAATGTATCATCAATGTATTTTGCACTCTTAACTTTTTAATACCAACTATTCACCGCTACCACCATTGTGTCGTTGTTGTCATCACCACCACAACTACAATTACCGTAATCATCACCACCACTATTGTGTCGTCGTCACCACCACCACCATTGTATCGTCATCACCACCACCACCACCACCACCACCATTGTGATGGTGGTAGTAAGAATAAGGTAGTTGCCGTGGATACTAAATAATTTATAAATTAAAAAATTCAATACTCACCACTTAAAATTCAATATTCAGTTTTTAGTTTTCAAATTTTAGTTTTATTAAACATCACTTTATTTAGAGTAAATATTGAATGCAATGGTAATACCATGTCACAATTGTTGATTGATATTACTAACTAATAATAAAACCATGTGAGTAAGGTGAACCTCGTTTGAGTTTACATAGATAAAGAGTTGAGAGTTGTTTGCTTAGAGCATCTCCAACCCAACTCTCCAAAATAGTTATCTAAAAATATATTTAAATATTATATTATCTATTTTAACTAGTCACTTTTACAAATTCACTCCAACCACACACTTTGTTTTAACTAACTACTTTACTTAACTTTTACTAACTTCCAATAATTTAAAGGAAATACATTTATAATATAAAATATAGCAAAATTCAATAAGTTCATACGATAGTTTCAAATAGAGTCATCCAACAGTCACTAACATCCCTTTTAAAACTATTTACATTACACTGTGTATTCAGAAGTACGGATTACACCTAATATGTATATATAGAGAGATAGAGAAAGAAAAAGGTAGAAAGAGAGTTAAAGAGTTTAAATGACTCTCCAAATTTGGAGAACAATTTAGGTGAAATGAGAAATAAAGAGTGGGATAGAGAATATTTTGTGTTTGGCTAACTAAAATAGCCAAAAGAGAGAAAATGTATAGTGGGTTGGAGATGCTTTTTACACGACAAATTGATTGTTAATTTTTTTGATACTTATTTATTTTAATATTATTAATTAATAATATTATATTACATTGTCACCTTTTGTAATGAATATTTTCTGTTTTATTTGACGCTGAAAAATATTCATTCAACACAGTCTTGTCCAAAGGGTTTGATTGAACGTGTCACGCTTGGACATTGTGTTGTGTCACCTTCAGTACCACATAAGGTTGAATGTCATCCAGGGCGGCATTGTTTTGAAGCTCCACGGGTTCACTTAAGATGGAACTCAAATTAAACAAATTAAATACAAGTATAATGTATGTTTTTTTGATTGGACCTGACAATGATTCAAAAAAATAAAATTTTGGTGTTATATTGAAATTTATAATATTTGTGAATATTTTTATTATATTTGTAACTATTATTATTATTATTATTATTATTATTATATTTAAAAAAACAGTAAAATAGTTATTACAACAATAATAAAAACACTCACAACAATGGTAACAAAAACTCACAAATGTAATAATTTTTTTTACTGAAGAAAAATAGTAAAAATAATTATCACAACAGTGTTAAAAACATTTATAACAATGATA